GAGTCCTCCTAGTGAAAGACGGAACCCGGCATGGGCATCCCTGACACACATACTTACATAAAGATAGCCAGAGTTCTGTTTCTGATTTTACAGATGTGGAAACTAAGGCATAGAGAAGTGAAGGAACTTGGGCTAGCACTGTGGCACAGTGGTACAAGCTGCTGCCTGCAATGCCAGCATTCCCATACCTGGAGCACTGGCTCGAGTCCCAGTTGCTCCACTTCCAATCCAAATTCCTGCTGCCACACCTAGGAAAGCAGTAAAAATGGCACAAGTACTTGGGTCCCTGCCACCCAGATGAAGCTGCAGGCTCCTGGGTTTGGTCTGGCCCAACCTTGGCCATTGTGGCCATTTGGGGATTAAGTCAGTGGGTGGAAGATCTGTTTCTCTGTCTCTCCCTGTCACTTTTTTTTTTTTTTAAAGACTTATTTATTTGAAAGGCAGAGTTACAGAGAGGCAGAGGCAAAGGCAGAGAGAGAGAGAGAGAGAGAAGTCTTCCATCCACTGGTTCACTTCCCAAATGGCCACAACAGCCAGAGCTGGGCCAATCTGAAGCCAGGAGCCAGGAATATCTTCCAGGTCTCCCAAGCGGGTATAGGGGCCCAAGGACTTAGGCCATCTTCTACTGCTTTCCCAGGCCATAGCAGAGAGCTGGATTGGAAGTGGAGCAGCTGGAACAAGAACCAGCACCCATATGGGATGCCGGCACTGTAGGCAGCAGCTTTACCCGCTATGCCACAGCTCTGGCCTCTGTCAATTTTCTTTTTAGGTTTATTTTATTTATTTGAAAGGCAGAGAGTCATAGAGAAAGAGGGAAAGAGAACTTGATTTTCTATCTGCTGGTTACCCTCTATTACTTTTCCTAAGGCTCCTGGTTAGTGAGAGAGACAAACAAGGAATACTGCAGTCTAATTGGTGCTATTACAGAGGTGAGCCAGAGACAAGGCCCCAAACTCAGCCTGGAGGGGTAAGGGGTAAGGGACTGTGAGAGGGGCACTCTGGATTAACGGGGCTTTCTGCAAGTCACATGTGAGCTGAGTCTTGAAGGATGCATACGAGTTTATCAGAAGGAATGCAGGAATGAGAGAGAGAGAGAGAGAGAGAGAGAGAGAGAGAGGCACTTATCAGAGAGGAACAGTATATGCAAACATTTTCAGACACAAATGAATGTGTCCTCCAGGAAGTACAATAAAGTCAATCTGGCTGAAGCACAGGGTAGAAAAGTGGAGTGAGATGAGGCTGGGCATGTGGCCTGTGACAACATCCTGACAGCTCACTATTGCACTATAAAATGAATTTTCATTTTATCCCAAAGATGATGGGGAAGCCACTGAGGCAAGCACTGGAAAGATAAGAACAAATCTACTTTTAAATTTTTTTATTATTATTATTTTTTTGACAGGCAGAATGGAGAGTGGGAGAGAGAGAGACAGAGAGGTCTCCCTTTTCTGTTGGTTCACCCCCCAATGGCCGCTGCAGCCGGTGCGCTGTGGCCGGCGCACCACGCTGATCCAAAGCCAGGAGCCAGGTGTTTCCTCTTGGTCTCCCATGTGGGTGCAGGGCCCAAGCACTTGGGCCATCCTCCACTGCATTCCCGGGCCACAGTAGAGAGCTGGACTGGAAGAGAAGCAACTGGGACAGAATCCGGTGCCCCAACCGGGACTAGAACCCGGGGTGCCAGCGCCGCAGGCGGAGGATTAGCCAAGTGAGCCGTGGCGCCAGCCAACAAATCTACTTTTAAAAGATCACTTTGGGGGCCGGTGCTGTGGTGCAGTAGGTTGACACCTTGGCCTGAAGTGCTGGCATCCCATATAGGCGCCAGTTCTAGTCCCGGCTGCTCCTCTTCTGATCCAGCTCTCTGCTGTGGCCCGGGAAAGCAGTGGAAGATGGCCTAAGTCCTTGGGCCCCTTCACCCACTTGGGAGACCCAGAAGAAGCTCCTTGCTCCTGGCTTCAGATCGGTGCAGTTCTGGCCGTTGTGGCCAGTTTGGAAGTGAACCAGCGGATAGAAGACCTCTCTCTCTCTCTGCCTCACTTTTCTCTGTGTAACTCTCTTACGATTAATAAATAAAATCTTTAAAAAAATCACTTTGGAGAGTTATTGGAGGCAGGGAGCCCAGATAAGTTGCTATGTTTGTCCAAGAAAGAAAAGCAGCCTGAAATAAAATGGAAGCACCAGTGAACGTAAACGTACCAGTAGAGCGGAGTGGAGAGGCAAGTTTAAGAGACCCCGGAAAACGGAAGCCAAGACACTTGCTGACTGACTGGACACCAGCGAGTAAAAGGAGAGGAAGAATCTAAAATGCAACCGAGATTCCTAGCTGGTGCCTTGGAGGAGGAAGACACACACCTGGAGTTGGAGCTCAGAATCTGAGGAGCCGCAGGAAGGCATCTATTTGTGTAATATATGCAGCTGGATGTAAGTTCTAGACACAGGGAGTAAGGATGAAACAGCATACACATTCAGTTCAAAGAGACCACCCGAGAAGCCTCAAAGCAAAGTAGTCCCTGAATTCAGGTCACTCCCTGGATCTGGAATACATTCTAGATGAGGCTCGTCATTTAGCATGTCAACAGGAAGACGAAGCAGGCTCCCCGCCACAGCACTGACACTGTATCCTGCAGCCTGGGGAACACAGGTGCACGCACAGTATCTGTTAAAGGGAGGAGCCAGTGATAATCTAGATCTGGTAATCCTTATTGCTCCGCTCCAATTAACCTAATAGCTTCTGCCACGTTATCTGACCCGGGATTCAGAAGAAAGGAGGAAGATGACTTATTGGGTCATGGAAACCACTCAAATGTCTATCACTGGGAGAAGACAGAGATGAACTGTGTTCACTTCAAATGCTGAAATCTTATACTGCAGTAAAAATAAATGAATCACAGCTTCACGTAATACAGATACATTCTGGAAACATGTTGAGTTAAAAAAAAAAAAAAGTCCAAGAAGATTATGGCAAGATATAACTTTTTATAAAATTCAAAAGCAGTACTAAAACAACACATTTATGAGGTAAACTTCAAAGCTTACCTCATAAATAAACTATAGATAATGATGCAATATTAAGGTTCAAATAATGTTTACTGTAAATAATAAATAGCCATTTATGAGGAACTTCAAAAAGTTAATGGAAAGAAGCTAAGCTAACTTTATTGCAAAAAGTTTTGAAACCCATGCATGTTTTTTCATAACACATGTTTTCCATAAACTTTTTGAATAATACATACAAAGTTTAGAACAACAGTCACCTACGGGGTAGATGGGGGAGAGGAAAGGTGGAAGAAGGGTGCACAGCTTCAACAGTAACAATAATGTTACTTCGCTGGATGTGTGCTCTGACTCTATAGATTCCTTACATATATTCTTTTGTATATAGAAAGTATTATAAATTACTTTTTTTTTTTTTTTTTGACAGCCAGAGTGGACAGTGAGAGAGCAAGAGACAGAGAGAAAGGTCTTCCTTTTGTCATTGGTTCACCCTCCAATGGCTGCCGCGGCTGGCGCGCTGCAGCCGGCACACCGTGCTGATCCGATGGCAGGAGCCAGGAGCCAGGTGCTTCTCCCGGTCTCCCATGCGGGTGCAGGGCCCAAGCACTTGGGCCATCCTCCACTGCACTCCCTGGCCACAGCAGAGAGCTGGCCTGGAAGAGGGGCAACTGGGACAGAATCCGACGCCCTGACCGGGACTAGAACCCGGTGTGCTGGCGCCAAAAAGTCATCTAACTTGGGGCTGGCGCTGTGGCGCAGCAGGTTAACACCCTGGCCTGAAGTGCTGGCATCCCATATGGGTGCCGGTTCAAGACCCAGCTGCTCCTCTTCCGATCCAGCTCTCTGCTGTGGCCTGGGAAAGCAGTAGAAGATGGCCCAAGTCCTTGGGCCCCTGCACCCACTTGGGAGACCCAGAAGAAGCTCCCGGCTCCTGGGTTCAGATTGGCCCAGCTCCAACTGTTGCCATCTGGGGAGTGAACCATCGGATGGCTGACCTCTCTTTCTCTCTCTCTCTACCTCTCCTCTCTTCTGTGTAACTCTGACTTTCAAATCAATCAATCAATCTTTTTTTAAAAAAAGTCATCTAACTTGAGGACCCTGCTATATGTCAAAGATACATTTGAAATCTTCAGTATAACATTTCCCTAATATAGCAGCAATCTCATTTTCTGAAATCTTACCAAACAATGATATTTTACAAAGAAGATAATGTAGTCATGGGTGCATGTTCCCATCAATTTTCCCCAAAAAACAGCACGTTCTGACTAACCCATACCACAATCCAGACTAGTCAGGCAACAATGACATAAAGTATCTGTGTCTGCAGATAAAACAGGCCCCAACATTTTGACGGATAAATGTAAAGGAAGATACATGAGGTATATAGGTGGAAAAATACTATATAGGCAATGTAGATAATACGGAAAGGAACTCATAAAAGATAAGGAAAAACAATAGAGCATTTTAACAATAACAACCAAACATTAGCAAAAAGGCATCTCAGAGTAGGAAGAAGATGTGCAGGGGTCTTGTGCAACTACAAACTACAAAAGATATGAAATAATCATGCAATTTTAAAGTACGTATAAAAAGGAATCCCGGGGCAGGTGCTGTGGCACAGCGGGCTAAAGCCGCAGCCTGCAGCGCCAGCATCCTATATGGGTGTTGGTTCGAGTCCCGGCTGCTCCACTCCCAATCCAGCTAGGGCCTGGGAAAGCAGCAGAGGACGGCCCAAGTCCTTGGACCCCTGTACGCGCATGGGAGACCCAGAAGAAGCTCCTGGCTTCGGATCAGCTCAGCTCTGGCCATTGTGGTCATTTGGGGAGTGAACCAGTGGATGAAAGACCTCCCTCTCTCTCTCTCTCTCTCTCTCTGGCTCTACTTTGCTCTTTAACTCTTTCAAATAAATAAAATCTTAAAAAAAAAAAAAAAGGAATCCCTGGAATATTATTTTTCTTAAAAAATTGAGTCTGCACCAAATATTATTAAAAACTAAAGAAGATACTCACAAAGTCGTCTCCTGAGTCAGCGCCCATGGAGGCGACCGACTCCTTGCTCACGGACCGTGGAATCCTAGCGGCACCTCCAGGCCTCTGAGCGCCAGCACTCTCTTCTGCAATCTTCTTCTTCAGCTTTGCGAACATTGCTGCTGTGTGGCTTCCCTGCACCGCGGCCGGTTCCTGCCTCACTGCAGTAGTCCTTAGGTCAGTGGCCAGGGTCCAGACACAGGTGCCTAAAAAGTTTCAGACATCCCAGCTAGCTGCCTTCCCACATAAATGTGGGCCAAGGGCTTATGGCAACATAGTATCTATAAACTAGATGGAAGCGATATCTGTAAGATAACACTGGAAAGATCCCCTGCCTTAAGCTTTAGGTTTCAAAATGAAGTTTCATAACTTACACGTAAAGGTAACAGAACATAATTACTAAACCTTTAAAAGGCCCTGGCTGCTTTCTATATGGACACACAGATGAGGAAATCCAGCCTCAAGGTGAAGCAACCTATCAAAGACTGTGTGGCTAAGCGGCAGGGCTGGGATCTGGGCACCGAACTCTGACTCACAGGCCCTACTTTTGTTCTTCTTAATTAGACCATAGTGGCTATGGCATATGACACATTTAGTAAAAGTTCCCAGGTCAAACACTAACATCATATAAGCATGACTGAACGCTTCTGAATCCTTCCTGTAATAATAAGCTTAACTAGCGTGTGTGTGTGTGTGTGTGTTTTTTTTAAGATGAAGGCAGAAAACATATGTAACTCAGTAAGAGGAAAAGATGTAACATTTTATGTTCCCTGTGGTCTGCAGAAAGCTCATCACTTAAAAAAAAAAAAACCAAGCAAGCCAGAAGATTCTACTATGATCATTCTTAAACTGTTCCTGGAAATGTGTGGTTTGAGTCTGAAAAAATGACCTCAAATCACAGTTTTCCTTCTCAGTGTTTCACATGATATCCAAGCACCTTTTCCTTCCAACACGGTCTGAAGCATGGCTGTTCTGGGTCCAGCCTTAACTTTCCACGGCCTGTGGACGCTGTTCAAGCTCTGCTCTAAGACCTACAAATGACTCTTACCGCCTGGGATCACCTGTGAAACCCCTACAGTTCATCGGAAGCTCTCCCTGCAATGTCCTTACTCACCCGGTTAAGACGGCCGGCAGGTCAAAGCTCTCACGAAGACCAAGATGAAACACGTTGGGTATGTTTCAAGTACAAAGCCAGAATCTTGGGGGGCGGTGGTGGGAGATGAGTGCAAGGGAAGAATTAAGTCGGGGAGGGAAAACCTGTCACTGCCCGACTCCAGGCGGGCTACCCTCGCTCACGCTGGTCTCCTACAGTCTGGAATCTCCCTAGAGCTGGAGTCGCTCAACGCAGTCAGTGTCTAAATTCACTTCTAGGCAGCCCTGAGCCAAACTGCAACGCGAGTTCCGGTTTTCCAGAGCCGGCTTAGCTCTCAGCTGATTCTGGCCCTCACACACTGTTTACCTGGCCAGACCCTGGGCTGTCTGGTCACGGACGCCTAAGACAGTCGCTGAGAGGAAGGACGGCAAAGTTAGGTTTAAAAAAAAATTTTTTTTTTTAAAAGAAAGAAGATGCTGACGCCCAGGATGGCGGGCAGGGCGCTGCCAGGCAGTTGGGAGCCCACTCCCTCAGCCCCCGCCAGCCCCGCCGGTGCTCCCACTGCCAGGGCTAGCAGCCGACGTCTCTCTCATCTGGAAGCAGGGAAACTGAAGCCCACTGGCGAGGAGGGACGTGTCCAAGGTCGCGCAGGGAGGAATCTCAGGACCCGAGGCGCCAGCCCCCCAGGCCGGGGCAGCCCGCCTCCGCCCCCATCCTCGCCCTCCCAGTCCCCAGGTACCGCCCCCCGCCTAAGGTCTCGGGCAACCCCGTCCGGGGCGCTTGGGGACAGACCGAGGACACCGGGAGAATGGGGGCGAGGGGCGGCTCCAATCCCCGGAGCTTCGGGTCGCGCACCTGCCGCTCTGTGGGCACCCGGCAGAGCACCGCCTCCGGGGCCTCTCGCGAGCGCCGACCAGCGTCACCAGCCCCCACCGCCAGCCGCGGAGCCGGAGCAGCGACCCGGAACCGCACGTCCCCCGGCGCGCCGGAAGTGGCTGCGCGCGGGGCTGGGCCGCCGCGCGCATGCGCCCGCGTGCCCTCCGCGGCGCGCGCGCGAGCTCTGGGGCGGCGGTTGGGCCGGAACGCCTGGAGGGCGCGGGCGCCGGGCCTGGCGCTCCCTCAGGCGGACTCGCCACGTCAGCGGCCGGCCAGCCCCGTGGGTGACAAATGCGTCGTGGAGGCCTTTCACCTGTCTTTGTGAACGGGGTTGGTGTAGAGTCGAGGAAGTGGGAGGAGCCTCGTGGCAAAGGGAAGACCCGCTGTGTGCCGCGGGCTGGATGGAAACCCCGGGCCATGGCCGCCTGGCGCCAGCCCCGCCGCGCGCCGCGCAGCTGCCTGGTCACTGTGTCTGGGTGATCCCGGGAACCCTGGGGCTGCAGAGACTAGTTCTGGGATCTTGGCGATGTGAGTGGCGTTTCAACTTTTGTTGTCTGTGCCTTAACTGTAGGTGCTACCTTTTCCATCGCAACCCAGCACACGTGTAAACGGCACCTGGGAGAAGCTTCCAGAACTCTGCCCTTGTTCTGAAAGTACTCGGATCTGGTTGGCGTTTGAAAAATCCGCTGGGGGCAGCCCGCTGTATTAATCTCAGTATCCACTACTGATGGGCCGCCTCCTTTTAACACGTGAGGAAAGTCTAAAGGGTGCAAGTGCCTTGTGCGTGGCCACAGTGCCCATCAGTATCCTAGGTCAGGTGTCGAATCCTGCCCCAGCCCCACCGCCAGCCAGTGCACCTGATTCTTCCAGTCTGACCACCAGGAGAAAGGCGGGGGTGGGGTGGGGGTGGGGGTGTGTGAAGCCCAGGGCTCTAAAGAGATATACCAGCTAGAGTAAGAAGCATCGAATCTGCAAACCCCAAACAGTTGGCAGCATCTGGGGTGCCAGCTGAAGGAGGCAAACCCTAACAGCTTACCTCTTAAACCGTCAGCAGTTCTGAAGTACCAAAAAGTTTAAGCAAATAATGTTTATTTTTATATTGATGATACACTTAATATATATGTGGATCAAGATACAAAATTCATTTACAAGAGTTCACACCTGATGTATGCAGTCACATTCCTAGAGAACATTTATCAATGCAAAAATTGCTTTAATATACTGACAACAAAAATCGAATACTCTGTAATCTTATTATTCATAAACATCAAAACAATAGTGTTTAACTTTCCATCCGCTAGTATTTTAGTGCCCTAAGGTGGTGGGCACCGTATAACAGAAGAAAATACTAGAAAGCCCACTGAATCCGCTCTGCAGAATCACAGTGTTTACTCAGTGAAGTAGTGAAAGGCTTGCTATCTTTTATGACAAATCACGTATCATACAAGAGTCAAGTGTGATGAGCTCAAGAAAATAAAATCTCGCGAGAACTTTTCAATTTCTAAAACCTATGAAGTATTAACCGTAACAGACAATGCAGAAAAAGGCTGCTGGAAAGGAACAAAACAAAACAATCCCTATTTAAGAGAATGTATGGCTTAAGCGATTTAGAAACAACAGACAAGAACGTTTACAATACCACAAATGTTCAAGGCAATTGATATTGACAGTATTGACTTTCCCCCTTAGTCACTGGTAGTAAATAACGCCTTCAGAATTTATTCTGGTAACATAAAAACATCCAAACGGTTTGCTGTCTTAAGAAGAGCTGAGCTAATGAATTTGGTTCTAAAATTATCACCCACAATATCCACATTTCAATACAAATGAACAACAAAGACTAGGTCTCAAGGATTACACTGATTTGTGAACATCTAGAGAGGCAACCAAATAGCTTCGTTATCGGCATGACAGATTAGCAGCACTTGGATAAGAAGTGTGACATGGACATTATTGTGCTTCAGTCTCTGGAGGAGCGCTAATGGAACTCTAATCCCTACAGTGCTAACGATTCTATAACATTTCAGTTACAGACAAGCACAACTGTTTTAAATAGTATTTCACACCACTAGAAAATCAAGTAATTAGGTCCTTCAAATATAGTGTTTGCTGTGATTTAAACAAGTGCATTTCTACCTGATACTCATAATGTAGATAATAGCTTCAAAATTGTAGACAGTTTTCAGGGGAAAAAGATCAAACATAACTTCTTTTAACTCCTATTTGATTAACTTAACCTTTAGTGATAGTTTGAGTAATATGAATGATACTCAACTTTATGAGGGGAAAAAAATGCATGGCCTGAGGTGACGAACAACCTTTACAGCAAAGTAAAAAGTGATTTATAACTGCTTCATCTGATTCCATGTCTAATATAACCCCTATTTTATACTGGTGCTATGCAATGAAGAGACTATTTGTAAAAATTTCTTCACTTGTAAAATCTACTATGAATATGTTAGGACATTGTATCTGCCTTCTCTATTATCTAACATCTTTCTATCTCAACTGGAAGAACCCTGAAAAATATAAGACTCTGATAGTTGAACAGCAAGGTTTATTAAAAACAAAAGACAGTTGGATTAACTAGCCACAAGGTCTATGTGGCAAAAAGTGTTTCCAGGTAACTCTTGAGAAGCCACAAGACTCAAGTTGTAAGTTTACACTTGGAAGGTGATTTTAATGATGACAGTATTAAAACCACCAAAAATTTCAGGAAATAGTAATAAAAATTCTTATTGTTCCACAGCACTTTAAGCCTTTTTTCCTGCAGATTTTCAATATATCACACTACATACTTTTAATTTAGAAAAAAATTAGTAGCATACAAAGGAGGGTGGGAATAAAATTTTGAAAAAAAAAAGATAGTTATTTTCTCTATGGTTTGGAAGTACTTGGGATTACATATCATTCCATATTTTAAAATGGCTATTCATACTGATTTGAAATTTGAGAATACTTATGATTTGAATTTTAATGTTTATAAATCTCAATGTTCAATCATGGACAGGTGGACATTCATAATAAAAGCTTCAAGATATATTATGATTTAACATCAAAATTTAAATATGCATCACTGCAGACCTACTAGAAGGCTAGCCATAATTCCTTACCTCACGCAGAGTGATACAAACTCGCTCTATTGACTGTCATTCTGTAAGCCAATGAGAAAAGTAAAAATCTGAAATTATCAGTAAATAATGTTATACTTAAAAAGATGATTGTCTTAGGATATAGACGGTGTATCTACCAAAACAGGAAGAATACTCCCAATACATAGTGTGTTCTAAGATCAAATTCAGGGTTAATGATTTAAGTGAATCTGTGGTATATATTACACTGTACTTCAAACTATTTAAAAACTCTGAATCTACTGTTCAAATGTTGTTAAAAATCACCCTGCTTAGAGCAGTCTGATAACTAAAAATTTTAAAAACCACAAAAGAAATTAACAAAGATATTATAAATTAAGAAATGGTGCTTCCATCAGTGGTAAAGTAACAATGTTATGTAAAAATGGAATTCTTCTCAAAAGTCAGTATTACACCAAACTAGTAAGTGAAAAGTACCAATTTTAGATTAAGAAAACATTTTGTATTTACAAGATTCTAAAGAAAATATTTCTATGGCACCAACAAATTATACTTCACACATTTACCTTTACCTAATTAAGCGCATTTTCCCCTCTATCTGCTGGCACCTTTACTGTCAACAGGTGATTGATTGCTTTCACACATCAGTTATTTGTCCTTAAATACAAGGCATGCTTACGTGAGTCTTTGTGGTTAAAAACTTGAAACTGGAAGATAGTGGAACATTGTTTTGAAACTCTAGTTTGAGGAAGATCATTTGTTTACCATTTTTAATGTGAGTGGTCGCAGAATCTCAGAAGTACCACACAGAGTATCAGTGTGGGAGAATGGGAGAATGGGGGAAAGGGCTGCTTTTCTAAGTAATTCATTTCTTACTCAGCTGCAGTTACTGACTTCCCACAGTTAGAATCAGAGGCTGTAGTCACAATACAGTCTTTTGGCATTTTTTTCATTGCTGATGTTTTCAAATTAGTGCCCACACTGAGCGTGAGTCAATTCCCTGAATTTTAAGTAGCCTCGTATCTGTTCTCTCCAATTGCAAAAAAAAAAAAAGTTATAAAACAACAGAGTATCAGACCCTATGGACATTTTCACTGACTTCTCAAGAAAAAGGCTGTAATTTTAAATTTAATACCATAATTGAATTGCCAATAGTAGACTAAGAAGAGGAAATGTACCATTTAAAACCGACTCCTGAACTAATTTCCCTCTGTAGGATCATTTTTAAATGTTGAATCAAATAGACTTAGTCTTCTGAAGAGTAGGGCAAAAAGTTGCTTTGCAAGTTGCATTTTGTCATGAAAAAATAACCTTAATTTCTCCAGTGAGCGTTTACTATGTACCCGAATACATCTCTTAACACTCACTTTATGCAAACATGTCAGTTGAAGACAGACAGGAGTAAATGAACACTGATACTCTGCAGTATTCCATAGATTCACAGGTTGGCACTGCACATATCCTCCCCAAACCTATCATCCTTGGTAAACATCTGAAGGCCCGGATTTTGATAGCATACCATCCTAATATTGAGAACTCTATGTGTGAATGTATCATAAAATGGTAGAACACAAGTGGTCTCACAGAGACAGAGCAAAACGACTGGAGGCATCTGATTCACCTGGAGCGCCTTCTCAGATGAGCACACTCATCTTGGGCATGCCGTTCCAGTAAGAAAAGTCTGTAGCTGGAAATGCCGACAGCTGCTGCAGACACACGGATTAACAACGTCCCGCTCCTCGCTGAACCCCATCCCACCGAGGACGGGCCTTCCCTTAGCTCATGCCCCTTTCACTGCCTCACAGAGACACGTACACAACGAGGCACAGTGATAAAAAAAAAAGTTCCAAAATTAAAGTTCAGTATCAGGTATTGAAATGATAACTAGGAATATATTTTGCCCCCTTAAAGAACAATTTCCTATTTTAAATGTGAGTCAAGTGAGTTTTCCCAAAGTCCCTTGATTAAGTAACAATATAATTTCCCATTCAGTAACAGTACTCAAATGTGCGTCAAGAAAATAAAGAACTAACACACCTAAAGAACCTGCTGGTGTCTCAGTTTCACATACTTAGGCATTTCATGTTTATATCATGAATTTATCATCAGTTTAAATTTGCAGAAGGGTTTAAAGCTAAGAATGTCCAGCTTTCTGTTAAGATCTTCATATCCTAATTTCAACTCCAAATTAGCCCATTTATCCCAACACAAGCCCCTCAAAATAGAAGCTTGTGAATGAGATACAACCACAACCTAATTACAGCAGCATGAACAATGCCACTAGGATGTCCTCACAGAACTTAAATAAATTCAGCCCACAATGGGTATGGGTATATAATATACACATACTGTATCATTGCATACCAAGATATTTACACGTATGTACACATATACAAAAAGTATACACATAGATTGCATTTAGCATCACAAAAATATACACATGCCATTGCAAATAAAACAAGAATTTCAAATAAATAAACTCAGTAAGAGTCCTCAATGTCAATACCCTTTGTACTCTCGAAACACACAAGAACCAGAACAACCAAAATATCACTAAGAGGCTCAAAGCATTCATATCTGCATCATATCTCTCAGAGGGTGGGGAGGTGGTTCTGAATCATTGGTAGGGGCCAAGTTTGCATATCTTGGCACCTTACTGCACTTACAGTCAAGAATGATCTGGATATCAGGCTGATTATAACTCTCCGTGGATAACTAAGCATGAGACTTTTCAACTGGGTCCAAACTGCTTTTTTACACAGTTACTGAATCACAGGTCAGAGATTAAACTTGAAGAATGCTAGAGAAACTCCAAAACTGATATATAAATAGGATTTGTCACTTTTCCCTTTGTCTCAACTAAATTCGGTACAATTACCATCTATTCTGCTTCTGTTATCTCGAAACATTTCAATTTGGTAAAAACATAAAGGGTATGATAAATTCTGTGCTTTGAGAAGTTTTGAGAGCACCTTTCTAGGAGGAAAACACGTATACACACTCAAAGACAAAAGTAACTGGATTTTTTATAATTTAAAACCTTCAAGGCCTGAGTGGCAACCCAAACCAAACCACAGCTTTTTATGCCAACTTATAAATCTCCAGTTCCTTCTCGTTTGTTACAGGGAGCAAGCTGTCCGAGCTACTTGCAGACTGGACTGCGATGGGATTTGAGTTTTAGTTCTACCTCTATCAGAGTAACAGCGACATTTTGGATTGAGTTTCTCCTCAGTATCAGGAAGGATAGTCACTTTACTGACTTCAGAAATACACAGATAAAGAAAAATTACATTGTGCTTCCTTTCCTTCTGTACGTAACTGACTTCTTGGAATTGCATGTATTCTATATTCTGAAGGGAAACCAGAGACTAGATCAGAATCTCCAGGCAGAGTTTGAGCAATTTGAAAGCAAAGCAGCACTCTTTCCCATTGCTTTGCTCTGTTCTTAGTTCCAATACTTAAATTTTTGTGAATTATAAAATTAAATAAACAGGGCTTAAAATTTTTATATTTATACAGGAGAGGCCTATGCCCTTAAAACAATAGATTCTTTGCCATTGTCATGTTGAGCCCATTGAATGACTGTCCATTTACATTTCTCCTTCCTTGATTAAAATAAAACCTTAAAATGTAGAAGCTGGATAAAGGATACTACAAGGGGTCATTAAACTCTATGTGTGTTTAAAACCTCCATGATCAAAGTAAAGGGAAAAAAAAAAAAGACAAGACAAAGAAACACAAAGTGTGCAGATGTGAAGTTCCACTGAGGTTGATCCGGATCACTCTTTTAAAGAGTTGTTCTCTAAAAAACAAGAGACCCCTCAGCATGCTCCAAATGTCTTCTGGTCTACTAACCATCTTCTAACACAGACTTGTCCAGAAGGGAATCTGGAGTAAAGTGGTTGCTCAGTATACATTTGAAGGCATTAGCAAAGCAATAGTTTAGAATTTTCTAGGGCCACGCCAAGACTCAATAGGCTAATCCTCCGCCTGTGGCGCCGGCACACCGGGTTCTAGTCCCGGTCGGGGCGCCGGATTCTGTCCCGGTTGCCCCTCTTCCAGGCCAGCTCTCTGCTGTGGCCAGGGAGTGCAGTGGAGGATGGCCCAAGTGCTTGGGCCCTGCACCCCATGGGAGACCAGGAGAAGCACCTGGCTGGCTCCTGGCTTTGGATCAGCGCGGTGTGCTTGCCGCAGCAGCCATTGGGGGGGTGAACCAACGGCAAAGGAAGACCTTTCTCTCTGTCTCTCTCTCTCACTGTCCACTCTGGCTGTCAGAGCAAAAAAAAAAAGGAATTTTCTAGCACAGTTTCCTCTCTTTGAAGATTCAAGATCACTTCAGTCTACTTTAGATTTTTTTAACTGTCAGTAAAAAAATCGCATTTACATAAACTGAAGGGCAATGTCATAATCCAAACCCTTGTTGGATTTTTAAGATATATGTGTTTCTAATCATAAAAGCTCTAGTTTCTCCAGGGAGTCTCTCTGAACTAGTTTCTAAAACAGCTAAGGGGGACTCAGATATTTTCTTGAACAAAATCTAGGTAAATATGACCTAGAAATGAAAATGGAAATGTTGTGTATACTAAAAACAAGGAATCCAGTTTTCCTCACTGTAGAAGTGAGGATTTCAGTATTTTTGGAACCAAGAGTTCAAATTGTAGAATTACTGAGTTGGAGAGGACCCTGGACCAACCCTTCATTCACAGTTGAGAGTGCTGAAGAGAAAAGAAATGAAGACACTGTGACCAGGAAAGCCGGAATCCAACACACAGCTCCCAGTCCTCAGACGAGTGTTCCTTATGCTTAGCAGGTGGGAATAAAGACCAGGACAGTAAATACTGTGGTAAACATCAGAGAACAGGAATATATATGTTGGCTGGACTTCACTAGCATAGAACCTCAGGGAACTTCACACAGAGGTCAGAAAACTCATGACAGTATATCACTAGCGTCCAGTAAGCACTGTCACAAAGGGAGAGCTGCGGGCTTTAGTATGGTACTGAAGAAAGGAAAGCAATCTATCTGAACAGGAAAACCCACCAGCAATGGAAACCTCTTTCCAGGGTAACCCTGCTCGAGTTTTCTGAAACACTGTTTGAAAGAACCAACAAAAATATTTTTAAAAAGGAAATATAACACGTCAAAGACCCCAAATCCAAGAAATTTTCTCAAGGCCTCAATGGAAAAACCAGCAAAATGGAGCTGGTATGGGAATAACTTAGACTCAAATTATCCTCCATGCCAGAAGTGAAAGTCAGTTAAAGATATTACAGGAACATTTCCCTAGGGACACAGGAAGGGGGTACCAAAAGCAATCGCCTCATTGCACCTGGGACTACCAGAGGTAGAATATGAGCCTAGACAGAAATTAGGTAGGAAGGCCTTTCGAAACATAGAATTCCCAACTTGAATGCTGTGCAATCAAAATAGGGAAGAATCCTAAAATGTCATAGCTGTTGTCTGTGAAATTATGAAGGGGATGACAGGGAAGAAAAATGTAAAAATCTTCATATATTTTTTAAATTAAAAAAAGGGCACGAATATAAAATTCTAAATACAGGGAGTTTGAACAAATCCTATTCCCAAATTGTCAATGCAAAATCAACTTACAGTTTAGGGTCACACACAGCTACCCCCAACTAAAGTTTGTACCTGACTGTGAAGTCTCATAAATTTGAATTAGGCAAAAACAATTAAAAACTGTACTGTTTGCCACGGGCATCAATGCAGCTTTAAACCTGATCTCATAAACTCAGAGTTTACGGTGGAGACACTGTAGTAGGCAACCAACAACCTGATGTTTTGACCGAAATATTTAAAAGTTGGTGTTTTTTCCATTTCCAGCAAAGACTACAAAGAAAACAAAATATGCAAATTTCATGATAACACAGTGCTCACATGTTCCAAGTAATATTTATCATCTCAGGTCTCCAATTAAAGATTTAGTTTTCAGATGCAAATCAATCCTCTACAGTTTCTGAAACTTTGACAGTGTTTAAAGGAATTAAATAATTTGAAGAACTGTCTTGATCATGCTTCGAGAATCACACAGATTTCTACCTACTAACTTGGAATGAAAAGGAAACCCATGGCAGGACTCTGTTCTTGATTTTCGGTAGTCCATGCTGGCTCGTCGCATCGCTACGAACAATTTTGTATTTTCCAAAATCAGACATTTAAGGTCCAAGTGTAAGAGCTGGATTTTCCTCATTATACAAAAATAAATGATTTACTCTTCTCATGATGAGAATAGTGACTACTGGAGTGTAGGGTTAGATGTTGGAGGTAAATACCCATACCTCAAAACTGAAAAATAAAAATTCCAAGATTGACTTTTTTAAAAGATCTGAAAGATTGCATTTTAAAACAGTTACCCTAAAAGTTTGAATATTTTTCTTTTCAGTTTCTTTTTTAAAACGGTGGTCCTAAATTAAAAAATAAAAACTAAGTAACACCACTATGTGTCTGTCATCACATTAGAAAACTGCACCATTTAAAATCTGTGGAAAATGAGAAACTGTTTCAACAAGAGGGTTTAATAGTCCTCTATGGTATTCTCAAAGAACACGTTTCGAACATCCAGAATGGATGCCAATTCCAAAATGTGCTTCTGCAGGTGAGGGTTCTCCACTGTTTCGTCTCTTGGCAGTTGTGGATATGATTCGGGGTAATTTCGTGTTTCCTGGTAGTGAAAGAAGAAAAAAGTCAAGTTTTAGAGTCAAATGGCAGAAAATTGCACTGATCTGATATCAGGAGTAAGTTCACCTGCACTGTTTTCCTTCATGTTAGTATGAATCTTATTGCTAATATATTTGTTGAACATACTGAATGGCTCTTAAAATGATCATGTCGCATGACTCATTTGGCGGGTCCTTCCACAGATGCTCACTGAGGCCCGCTGTTTCCTGGGATTACAATCATAAAGAAACCATATTCATTCCTTCCTGCTGGAGGCAGTCTTTGAATGAATAGACAATGCAGTGGAAAATAAAATGGGGAAAAGACATGACCTTGGACTTAGAATCTCAAGAAATTTGAGCTAAATAAACACCTTTCTTTATAAAGTTAGCTGTCTCAGGATTTTGTTACAGTGCCATAAAGCTGACTACACAGCACCGAAAGGGTCGATTAATTACAAGAGAAGGAGGCAGTGTTAACAAAGACCATGAGGGGCTGGCGTTATGGCACAGCAGGCTAAGCCATGGCTTGAGGTGCTGGCACGCAATGTCAGGGCACTGGGTCGAGTCCTGGCTGCCGTTCCCAATCCAGCTCCCTGCTAATGTGCCTGGGAAAGCAGTGGGCCTCTGCCACTCACAAACCAGACTGAATGGACTTCCTGGCTCCTGCGTTTGGTCTAGCCCAGCCCCCCACGGCTGTAGCCATTTCTGGAATCAATCAACACATGGAAGATCTATCTCAGTCTCTCTCTGCCTTTGAAATGGATCTTTTTAAAAATGACTAAGATTTCAGGAACAGACGACTAGAGAATAGAGTTGGTAGCTACTGAAGGAAAAGAGAAGTAAAGGAGGAGATAACTTGGGGATAGTATAACCTATTTGCGGTAACAGGCGATACAGAAAGAACCGTCACACAAGCAGAATTAGAAAAATCAAGGCTGTATCTCAGGAAGACAGGTTTCAGCAATAAATGTACAACATGAAAGTGATGAGATTTTTCAGAACATCAGAAAAAAAAGTGGAAAAAAAGTTCAAGAGGTACTAAAAAGTGAAGAAAAATCAGAAAAATACAATTAGGAAAAAAAAGGAATAATAAAAACCTGACATGGAAGCAAAAGGAGCACTCTTTGAAGAATCAGGCAATTAACTGTCCCCTGGAAATTATTCATTTGGCTATTTCTACATATTCCCACATATTGAAAAATATTTGGAGGAATAAATTACTACTTTTCTCAGCACCTCACAAAGTTGAACCCAAAACAGATCTTCAAAATACACAAGGGAAAACCAAACTGAAATGAGAAACCAATTCACAATTATAATTAAAGGTTAAAATACTCCTGGTCTCGGGCCGGCGCCGCGGCTCACTAGGCTAATCCTCAGCCTTGCGGCGCCGGCACACCGGGTTCTAGTCCCGGTCGGGGCGCCGGATTCTGTCCCAATTGCCCCTCTTCCAGGCCAGCCCTCTGCTGTGGCCCGGGAGTGCAGTGGAGGATGGCCCAGGTGCTTAGGCCCTGCACCCTATGGGAGACCAGGAAAAGCACCTGGCTCCTGGCTCCTGCCATCGGAGGATCAGCGCGGTGCGCCGGCCGCAGCGTGCCGGCCGCGGTGGCCATTGGAGGGTGAACCAACGGCAAAGGAAGACCTTTCTCTCTGTCTCTCTCTCTCTCACTGTCCACTCTTCCTGTCAAAAAAAAAAAAAAAAAAAATACTCCTGGTCTCAGGCATAGAAAAAGCAGACAAATACTGTAAGAATACAGAAGATATAAATAACATGAGTTAAATCAAATTGAAAAAGTTCACATTTTACAGGATTCCGTCTAAGAAGATTAGAATACAAAGAATCCTGGGGTCAGTGCTGTGGTACACCTGGCTAAGCCTCAACCTGCAGTGCGGGACTCCCATATGGGCAATGGTTCAAATCCCAACTGCTCCTGTTCCGATCCAGCTCTCTGCTATGGTGTGGGAAAGCAGTTGAGGATGGCTCAAGTGTTTGGGCCTCTGCATCCATGTGGGTGACCCAGAAGAAGCTCCTGGTTCCTGGCTTTGGATCAGCTCAGCTCTGGCCATTGCAGCCATCTGAGGAATGAACTAGCTGATGGAAGACATTTCTCTCTGTCTCAAACATACAAAGGATTATTTTCAAGTGCAGAAAGACTATTTACCAAGTTAAATCACATTCTGGGTCATAAGTCTCAATAACCTGAGTCATAAGTCACAAGTTTCAATAACCTTAAAAACAGTAAAATACTACAGCTAAAACAGTGCATAAAAAGTCGAGTGCACCTGTGCTAAGTATTGCACAATTGCTTTCACTGAAATATCAAAACAACCTCATGAGACAGCTATTGCTACCACTATTTTACAGATAAAGAAAGTGAGACTAAGTTGTATTAAGATATCATTCATACAAGTCATTAATTCAAAGTGTATAATTTGGGGCCAGTGCTACAGTGCCAGTATCTCATATGGGTGCCAGTTCAAGTCCTGCTTCACTTCCGATCCAGCTCCCTGCTAATGCACCTGGGAAAGCAGCAGAGGATGGCCCAGGTGCTTAGAGCCATGCACCCACATGGGGGACCCTGAAAAAAGCTTCTGGCACGGCCATTTGGGAAGTGAACAGTGGATGGAAGACCTCTCTGTCTCTGTAACTATTCTGAATAAATAAAATAAATATTGAAAAAAAAATTAAAGTATATATTCCATGGGGCTGGTGCAGCGGGTAAAGATGCAGCCTGCAGTGCCGGCATCTCATATGGGCACCAGTTTGAGTCCTGGCTGCTCCATTTCTGATCCAGCTCTCTGCTATGGCCTGGAAAACCAGTAGAAGATGGCCCAAGTCCCTGGACCCCTGCACCCACGTGGGAGAACTGGAGGAAGCTCCTGGCTCCTGGCTTCAGATCGGCCCAGCTCTAGCCATTACAGCCAACTGGGGAGTGAATCAGTGGATGGAAGACCTCCCTCTCTCTCTGCCTCTCCTTCTCTTTCAAATAAATCTTTTTTAAAAAATGTACATACTCCATGGTATTTCATATATTTTCAGGTTTGTGCAACTAGCACCACAATTTTGGAACATTTTCCTCCAGAATGAAGTCCTGTGAACTTAGGATAACCTTCCCATATTGGTTCCAACACCCCCCTCCCAGCTTTGCACAAGCACTAATCTATTTCTACAGATTTGCCAGTGCAAACATTCCATAAAACTAAATCATATAATATGTGGTTGGAACCTTGGTTGTGGTGCAGTGGTTTAAGCTGCCACCCTCAAAGCTGAGGCCAGCATCCCACACTGCTCCAATCCTGACTGTTCACTTCCTGCTAATGCACGGGAGAAAGCCCTGGATGGCGGCCCAAGTACTTGAGCTCCTGCTTCTTCTGTTGGAAATCTGGATGGAGTTCCAGGCCCCTGCGTTTGGCCTGGCCCAGCCCTGGCCACTGCAGCCTTTTGGGGACTGAACTAGTAGCTGGAAGATCTCTCTCTCTTGGTATCTCTCTAGTTCTCTGCAACTCTGCCTTTCAAATAAATAAACTTTTTAAAAATGGAAAATTGTAAGCAATATCAACAAATACCAACAAATTAGGCAAATGCCTTGAAAGATACAAATTATTGCAATTGAGCAAGAAGAAACAGAAAACATAAATATCCCTTTAAAACTGGATTCATAATTTAAAAATTTCCCAAAAGAAAACTACAGGAGTAAGTGGCTTCACTGATGGAATTCTAGCAACCACTCAAGGAAGAGACAGTAAGAAATTAAAACATTCTTTTCAGAAACAGAAGATAATGATATGCATTTCAGCACAATAAATGTGGCCAATATCACCCTGATAACAAAACCACATGAAAACATGCCACAAAAAGAAAATTAAATTCCAAAACCAGTCATAAAAACAGATGCAAAAGTGTATAATGAAATATTATCCCGCTGAACTCAGCAATGTAAAAGGAAGATATGTGAGCACAAAACTGGTTTAACCCAGGTAAGTGAGGCTGATTTAGCCTCAGAAGAGCAATTAAAGCTATTCATCATATTAACACAATTAATATATATTAATCAGTCACAGAAAAAAAGTACTTGACAACTTTCCATATTGATTCCTGATAAAAGCTTTGTGGAAATTATGAAGAGAAGGGAGCTCAGTCAATCTGATAAAAGATATCTATAAATAACCAACAATTAGCACTATAGCTTATGGTAATGTTAAAAATTCTCCCCCCAAATCAGGAACACAAGGATGTCCATGTCCCATAGTTCTTCTAGTCATCATTTGATTGGAAGATCTAGCCTTGGAATAAAGCACAAAAAAATACAAAAGGCACACAAACTGGAAAGGAGGCAGTAAAATTGCTTTGTTTGAAGATGACATGGTCATGTATGAGTACACACAGAACCTTAAGGAATGTGTAAAAAGCTAAAAGAACTACTAATTTAATAAGGTCAATTTCAATTTTTTTTTTTCAAATTTATTTCAAAGGCTGAGAGACAGAAACAGAGGCAGACAGAGAGAGATCTTCCATCCTCTGGTTCACTCCCCTCCCCAAATGTCTGCAATAGCCAGGGCTGGACTAGGCCAAAGCCAGGAGCCCAGATCTCAATTTGGGTCTCCCTTGTGATTGGCAGGAACATAGGCACCCAGGCCATCAGCTGCTGCTGCCTCTCCAGGCAGCTGGAATGGAGGCAGAACCAGGCCTTGAACCCAGGCATTCTGAAATGGGATGCAGGAATCCCAAGCAGGGTTTTAACTGCTGCACCAAATGCCTACCCTACAAGGCCAGTTTTTAAAATTGCATTTCTATTTTTAGTTATAAATGATGTAAAATGAAATAAAAATAATTTTATTTTCAAAGCAATATAAAACATGAAATATTTTAGAATACATTTAGTAAGACACATATAGTTCCTCTATGATAGAAACTACAAAATCAGGGTTGGCATTGTGGTATAATGGATAAGGCAGTTACCAGCTAGTGCAATGCTGGCATGCCATATGGGCGCCGGATCGA